TTTGGGGCTGAAAGAACAAGTCAGAGTCTAGGATTACACCTAGTACCTTGGCTTGAGGGGAGGGACTGATAGGTGCATTATTGATCTTGATGGAAAAGTCATGGAGGAGGGCATGAGTGGGGGGGGGGGGGGGGGGTGTTGATGAATTCTATGAATTCTAGTATTTTAGTTCTTCCCCACCAAACGGAAAAATTGTATCAAATACAAGAATTGTTCCTTTCCTGGTGGTATATATATTGGGGAACACCAAAAGGCAGAAAGAACCGGAGGTGCAAGGGACAATTCGGAAGGAAGAACCAAAACTGGGATCAGGAACAAAGGGGAGCAGGTACATAGTAGAAGGGTAAGGGCAGGAACAAGATCAGGATCAATGGCAAATAGTATCTAGCAGCGGTAAAACACTGGAACAAGCGGTAGAGGAGGACCTAAATACCCTCCCAGTAGCCAGCATCAAGTGGAAACTGATTACTGGGATCTGCTGGGAGACACCCGCTGGTTGACACTGGAATTACAACCTTCCACTCTGGGAAGCACAGTGCCACTAGCAGGTGATCCAGGTCCTGACCATATCATGTCAGTGGGGTATATTAAAGCGATGCTCCACCCAAAAGGGGAAGTTCAAGGCCTCCTCTCCAGCTCCTGTTTGTGAAATAATATATATATACAATTAAAGTGATAACAGCAGAATGAGACATAATAGAACTGGTGATGGATTAGCACTACATTACCTATTGTTTAGATTTTGCGTTTTGATAAATGTATAAAGAGATATATTAGAAATGCTGCAAAAAAAAAGGAAGGTCCAGTCGCATGTGTGACCTCTGTGACCCTGGCAGTTCTGCCTCTGGCGCTCGCTCTACAATATTTATATTATCGGATTTTGCTATATGTTATAAAAAACCCGTTATTTACTGTCAATCCTATCATATAATAATCCCATCATTCCTAACATATAATAATCCCATCATTCCTATCATGTAATAATCCCATCATTCCTAACATATAATAATCCCATCATTCCTATCATGTAATAATCCCATCATTCCTATCATGTAATAATCCCATCATTCCTAACATATAATAATCCCATCATTCCTATCATGTAATAATCCCATCATTCCTAACATATAATAATCCCATCATTCCTATCATGTAATAATCCCATCATTCCTATCATGTAATAATCCCATCATTCCTAACATGTAATAATCCCATCATTCCTATCATATAATAATCCCATCATTCCTATCATATAATAATCCCATCATTCCTAACATGTAATAATCCCATCATTCCTATCATGTAATAATCCCATCATTCCTATCATGTAATAATCCCATCATTCCTATCATATAATAATCCCATCATTCCTATCATATAATAATCCCATCATTCCTATCATGTAATAATCCCATCATTCCTATCATGTAATAATCCCATCATTCCTATCATATAATAATCCCATCATTCCTATCATGTAATAATCCCATCATTCCTATCATATAATAATCCCATCATTCCTAACATGTAATAATCCCATCATTCCTATCATGTAATAATCCCATCATTCCTATCATGTAATAATCCCATCATTCGTATAATACAATCCTATCATTCCTATATTATAATAATCCCATCATTCCTATCATGTAATAATCCCATCATTCCTATAATATAATAATCCCATCATTGCTATCATGTAATAATCCCATCATTCCTATCATATAATAATCCCATCATTCCTATCATGTAATAATCCCATCATTCCTATCATTTATAATCCCATCATTCCTATCATGTAATAATCCCAGCATTCCTATCATTCATATCATATAATAATCCCATTATTCCTATCATGTAATAATCCCATCATTCTTATCATATAATAATCCCTTAATTCCCATCATATAATATTCCAATCATTCCTATTATTGCTATCATGTAATAATCCCAGCATTCCTATCATTCCTATCATATAATAATCCCAGCATTCCTATCATTCCTATCATATAATAATCCCAGCATTCCTATCATTCCTATCCTGTAATAATCCTTCATTCCTATCATATAATAATCCCATCATTCCTATCATATAATAATCCCATCATTCCTATCATATAATAATCCCATCATTCCTATCATATAATAATCCCATCATTCCTATCATATAATAATCCCATCATTCCTATAATATGTAAATACCAGAAGTCCCCCGTTCTACGTATACCCTGTATACAGTCCTATGTAATATTTGCAGTTACCAATGTCAGCGTATATGCTGGCTGGATCTGATCCTGTATTTATATCTGACTGCTCATCTATTAGGTATTGCATATGACACATACGTATGTACATCCGTGTTCCATGTTATGTATGTCTGTGTATTCTTTTATTGCTTTTTCTCTATTTTGTAGCCCGGGATCACATACATGCAGTGCGGTACATCGCATGTGATTCATACAGGAGCCGCACCGCATTCCTCTACAAATCACATGCGATTTGTGTGCGGTGTGATCGGAGCCGTACATTTGATATGACTCTATTCACACCGCACCCACACCAAAAATGTGCAGGACCTTTCTTGGGTCCACTCTAGAACCGGATCGCATGGGGATTCACACCTATTTGATCCGATTCTGCACATCGCACCGCGTTTTGTGACTGCTTTTGGGGTGTTGTTAATTTAACATACACACCCGCAGCGGTTCGCATGAACGGGGTGCGATTCTGATGCGGTGCGGAATTCGCACTGAAAGCGCTGAGAATTCCGCACGTCATCAGTGTGAACCCGGGCTGAAAGTGAATGTACTTATACTGCATGTAAGGGGGCTGTCCTCCTGTAGTGTACATTGCAGTGTTGGGTTTATAGGTGTTTGTAATGTCCGTGTTGTGTAATGCGCACAGTGCTGCTTCAATATACATCCCGCATCGCAGCAGACTCAGCACAGCTCTATGGTACCGGACCGTGTGTCTGTGACATCATTAACATATAATGTAAAATACTACAAAGGTATAATAGTGACGTCAAGGCCGGGACAAGGTCATTCAGCACCAGAAGAAAGATACCAAACAGCTTCTGAGGACAGGACACAGGTGGGGGAGAGAGAACACAGCCAGCATCACCTCCTGGCTCTCTCCTCCTCCCCTCACCACTGGGCTGACAGGAGTAGTGATGCCGCTGTCGCTACTCCTGTCAGCCTTGTAACAGATGAAAGGCGCCCCCCATCTCTACATTAAACCATTGCGCCCAGGGCAGCCACACCTCCCGCCCACCCCTTGTCCCAGCCCTGAGATGTCTTTAAAGTGTTACTAAACCCACAACAGTACAATCAGTCTGTATAGGCAATGCTTGTTATACTCACTGTGGAACCTAAGGGGTTAATCCTCAGCTTGTGTAAAAAGGCTGTTTGATCCTGTCTTCTTTACCCCTCCTCTTGTTCAAATGCCCACGCTGATAAGACAGACTGTACCGTGCCCTTTTGCACATGCTCTGGTTAGTGTGTATTGCTAGAGAGGTTTTTTTTTTTGCGATTGGAAGCTTTCTGATCATGTGACCGCTGTGACAGCCAATCACAGTGGTCACATGATCAGAAACCCCGCCTCCCAGCATCAGAAAGGCCTTAAAGTGTTACTGAACCCACAACAGTAAAATCAGTCTGTTTAATCCTCTGCATTGTGCAAAAAGGCTGTTTGATCCTGTCTTCTCTGATCCTCCCTTTCTTCTACTGTTCCCAATTCATCTGCGGATAGTACAGAGCCTTGGGGGCAAGTTGCACATGCTCAGTTTGGTGTGTATTGCTTTTTTTTCATGGGAGAATGCGTGTGATCAGCACAGGGCCAATCAGCACTTAGGGGTTCAGGGGTTCTGCATCCTCCTAGAGAAAACTCCTCCTACAAGCATTAACCAGTGCTAAGCTGAAGGCACAAGGCTGCTCTATACTGCTCATGAGGAAAGGTATTTAGAAATTCGTATTTACTAAACTAATTTGATTTCCATGTTCTGTGTACTGTGGGAGACCAGATACAGTGAATGCAGGGTCCGGGGAGACCAGATATAGTGAATGCAGGGTCCTGGGACACCGGATATAGTGAATGCAGGGTCCGGGGAGACCAGATAAAGCGAATGCTGGGTCCAAGGAGACCAGATATAGTGAATGCAGGGTCTAAGGAGACCAGATATAGTGAATGCAGGGTCCAGGGAGACTGGATATAGTGAATGCAGGGTCTGGGGAGACCAGATATAGTGAATGCAGGGTCCGGGGAGACTGGATATAGTGAATGCAGGGTCCGGGGAGACCAGATATAGTGAATGCAGGGTCCGGGGAGACCGGATATAGTGAATGCAGGGTCCGGGGAGACCAGATATAGTGAATGCAGGGTCCGGGGAGACCAGATATAGTGAATGCAGGGTCCGGGGAGAGCAAATATAGTGAATGCAGGGTCCGGGGAGACCAGATATAGTGAATGCAGGGTGCGGGGAGACCAGATATAGTGAATGCAGGATCCGGGGAGACCAGATATAGTGAATGCAGGGTCCTGGGAGACCAGATATAGTGAATGCAGGGTCCGGAGAGACCAGATATAGTGAATGCGGGGTCCGGGGAGAGCGGATATAGTGAATGCAGGGTCCTGGGAGACCAGATATAGTAAATGCAGGGTCCGGGGAGAGCGGATATAGTGAATGCAGGGTCCTGGGAGACCAGATATAGTGAATGCAGGGTCCGGGGGAGACCAGATATAGTGAATGCAGGGTTCGGGGAGAGCGGATATAGTGAATGCAGGGTCCTGGGAGACCAGATATAGTGAATGCAGGGTCCGGGGAGACCAGATATAGTGAATGCAGGGTCCGGAGAGACCAGATATAGTGAATGCAGGGTCCGGGGAGAGCGGATATAGTGAATGCAGGGTCCGGGGAGACCGGATATAGTGAATACAGGGTCTGGGGAGACCAGATATAGTGAATGCGGGGTCCGGGGAGACCAGATATAGTGAATGCAGGGTCCGGGGAGACCAGATATAGTGAATGCAGGGTCCGGGGAGAGCGGATATAGTGAATGCAGGGTCCGGGGGGAGAGCGGATATAGTGAATGCAGGGTCCGGGGAGACCGGATATAGTGAATACAGGGTCTGGGGAGACCAGATATAGTGAATGCGGGGTCCGGGGAGACCAGATATAGTGAATGCAGGGTCCGGGGAGAGCGGATATAGTGAATGCAGGGTTAGGGGAGAGCGGATATAGTGAATGCAGGGTCCGGGGAGACCGGATATAGTGAATGCAGGGTCCGGGGAGACCAGATATAGTGAATGCAGGGTCCGGGGAGACCAGATATAGTGAATGCAGGGTCCGGGGAGACCAGATATAGTGAATGCAGGGTCCGGGGAGACCAGATATAGTGAATGCAGGGTCCTGGGTTTAGTAACACTTTAAATTTATAATACAATGTGTGTGTGATTGTACTGTATTTCCATTATTTGTCTTTGTTGTATATATTGGCGTATGTTGCTTTCAGTGACATACTATCATTTGGATGCAATATTATATATTGTATTATTATTATACAGGATTTATATAGCGCTTTGCAATGTACAGGGAGACAGTAACATGACAATACATTTCAGTACAGAAGGAATAGGAGTGTATTATACATTTTATACGTTTTTAAATCCATTATTTAATATTGGTGAATACATTTGCTATGCTGTAGTATGTACTGCTATACTGTACAGGGTTTATATTGGCGCCTATATTTTCTATCTCCGGGGATGTACTGTATAGTATTACTATGTAATCAGTCAACTTGTTGCAATATCTGTACAATGAGATCACTGATTAAATGAACTAGTATAGATTTTATAAAAAGGCAATATAGAAAACGTCGTGTTACACAGCGATATGTTAACGTATTTATTGATCTGCTGTGGAGCATTGTGTGTGATGGGCTCGAAGGAAACCTGTTGTAAGAAACTCAGGTCTACTGAAAAGAAAAATGGGGCGCTGCACCAATTATTGAGAGTCCAGAGTCTCCATTTCCTTATATACTATCAACGCATTTCGGACCAACTGTGGAAACCCGATGTTACAATTCCTTCTCGTGGAATTTTTTTTTTTTATACTAAGCTGTAACAATTCGTGCTCAAGGAATTTTTTTTTTTATACGAAGCTGTTCACTAATTACACAGAGTTAATTTCTGCTCTTTTACCCCCGCCAACATCAAAGCCCTAATGAAGGTTCACGTGAAGGAACCTGAAACGCGTTGGGTTATAGTATATGAGAGAAAAAAGATCATGTTTGGATTTTCAAGAATTGGTGAGGTTCTCCAGTTTTCTTCTTTGTGTAACATTGTGTGATGTGCTTGAAGGAAACTTTGAGAAATACAGATCTATTGAGAAGAAACATAAGCCAAACCAATTATTGAGAATCCATACAGAGTCTCCACTTCCTTATATACTATTATCAACGCATTTCGGACCAACTGCGGAAACCCGATGTAACAATTCGTTCTCGTGGAATTTGTTTTTTTATACTAAGCTGTAACAATTCGGTCTCATGGAATTTGTTTTTATGCGAAGCTGTTCACTAATTACACAGAGTTAATTTCTGCTCTTTTACCCCCACCAACATCAAAGCCCTAATGAAGGTTCACGTGAAGGAACCCGAAACGCGTTGGTTTATAGTATATGAGGAAAGAAAGATCCTGTTTGGACTTTCAATAATTAGTGGGGTGCTCCAGTTTTCTTCTTTGTATAACACTGTGTGATGTGCTTGAAGGAAACCTTGATAAATACAGATCTATTGAGAAGAACCTTAAGCCAAACCAATTATTGAGAGGCCAAACAGAGTGCTCATTTCTTTATATGCTTTTACCAACGCATTTTGGACCAACTGCAGAAACCTGATGTAATAATTAGTCCTTATGGAATTTTTTTTTATACTAAGCTGTTCACTAATTTCAAAGATTACTTTTGTGCTCTTTTACCCCAACCAACATCAAAGCCCTGGTGAAGGGTCACTTGGGGGAACCCAAAACGTGTTGGATTGGAATACAGTATATTAGGAGATATAGAAATCCTGTTCGAACTCTCAATAATTCTTGGGGTGCTCCAATTTTCTTCTTTGTGTACTTGTGCTTGTAGGCAACCTTGACAAACACAATTCTACTGAGAAGAAAATGGGGCACCACACCACTTATTGGGAGGGCAAACAGAGTGTTCATTTCCTTATATACCATTAGAAATGCGTTTTGGATCAACTGCGGAAACCTTTTGTAATATTTGGTCCTTATGGATTTTTTTTTTTTAATAATAAACTGTCCACTAATTACAAATTTGTGCTCTTTTACCCCAACCAACATCAAAGCCCTGATAAAGGTTCACTTGGAGGAACCCAAAACGTGTTGGTTACAGTATATAAGGTAATAGAGATCCTGCTTGGACTTTCAATATTTGGTGTGGTGCTGCAGTTTTCTTCTTTGTGGATCTTGATCCTAATTCCCTTCCAGCAGCCCCTTTGTGTTAATTGGAGCTGCCGAGAAACAGATCTGCTGAGAAGAAAAATGGGGTGCCACACCAATTATTGAGAGTCCAAACAGAGTGTTCAATTCCTTGTATACGATTATCAACACATTTTGGACCAGCTGCGGAAACCTGATGTAACAATTAGTCCTTATGGAATTTTTTTTATATGAAGCTGTTCAGTAATTATAAAGAGCCCATTTGTGCTCTTTTACAACAACCAACATCAAAGCCCTGATGAAGGTTCACTTGAAGGAACCCGAAACGTGTTAGTATACAGTATATGAGGAAATAGACATCTTGTTTGGACTTTCAGTCATTGGTAGAGTGCTCAGGTTTTCTTCTTTGTGAATCTTGATCCTAATTGCCTTCCAACAGCCCCTTTGTGTTATTTGGAGCTGCCAAGCCAGAGATATTACATTCCCCACCCCCAAAAACCAATTCAACTTTGGATCCAACACCCCCCAACTGCAATTTCAATGTGAGATAACAGAGGTTGCGTCTTTGACTGCCTTCTCAAAATTCTAGTCAAAATCAAAATAAGATTGCTTCTATATATTCCCTTTTCAAATCCCTTGTATGTTTGGGAAGTTCTCAATTTTTCTTGAAGTCCCAGACTTTGGCTGTGATCTGGAGCTCTACCACGCCCCAACCCCATTAATACCCGTGCTTCAGCAGCCAATAGGGAGGCTCCTGCATTGGAAAGAAGCACTGCAGGGCCATGGAAAACCTTTAATGTTGGGGACTTCTCAAACATTCCTTGAAATCCTGGACTTTGGCTTTGAAATGGAGCTCTACCATGCCTCAACCTTATCATCCTTCAATTCAATACCTGTGCTACAGCAACCAGTAGGGAGGCTCCTGCATTGGAAAGAAGCACTGCAGGGGCATGGAAAAGCTTTCGGTTAGAGTCAATGTTGGGGATTTCTCAAACATTCCTTGAAGTCCCGGACTTTGGCTTTGAAATGGAGCTCTACCATGCCTCAACCCCATCATCCTTCAATTCAATACCTGTGCTACAGCAACCAATAGGGAGGCTCCTGCATTGGAAAAAAGCACTGCAGGGGCATGGAAAACCTTTAATGTTGGGGATTTCTCAAACATTCCTTGAAGTCCCGGACTTTGGCTTTGAAATGGAGCTCTACCATGCCTCAACCCCATCATCCTTCAATTCAATACCTGTGCTACAGCAGCAAATAGGAAGGCTCCTGCATTGGACAGGAACCCTGCAGGGGCGTGGCAAAGCTTTATGTTAGAGCCGATGTTGGGGATTTCTCAAACATTCCATGAAGTCCTGGACTGGCTCTGATTTGGAATTTTACCACTTCCTGTCCCTATCATTCTTCAGTTCAATACCCATGCTTCTGCAGCCAATAGGGAGGCTCCTACATTGGACAGAAGAACTGCAGGGGCGTGGCAAAGCATCAAGATACAGCCAATGCTGGGGATTTCTCAAGCATTCCTTGAGCTCCCACACTTTGACTCTGATTTGGAGTTCTACCAATCCCCCGACACCATCATCCTTCACTTTTATAAAATATAAATGTGCCGCGCTCCGCTCAAAATTACAACGATTTATAAATATAAATGCAAATAATTATTTGTATTTATATTTATAAATTGTTGTGATTTTGAGTGGAGCGCTGAACATTTATGATATTTTTTGCAAACCTGGCACATTAGTATCAGTATGTATATGGTGCAAGTGATCTGCTAACACATACATATCACATTTTTGCACAGAGAATCTGGTATAGCAGCTCACAAGACTTTACTGTATTTTATCCTTCAATTTAATACCTTGCTTCTGCAGCCAATAGGGAGGCTTCTGCATTGGACAGGAGCACTGCTGGGGCGTGGCAAAGATTTAGGTTAGAGCCGATGTTGGGGATTTTCAGTGGTGAAGCCAGGGATTGGGATTTCACCAGGAACATAGAACAAGCTCTGAGAAGATGTCAAATTACGAACGGGTTCCCTTGAATGCTTTCTTCTTGAAAGATTGGTTTCAAATGTGCCTAAGTGACAGATAAACTTTAAATGATACCTGCATTGGCTAGTGGAGAAGGCCTAAATTGCAAGCTTTCATGACATCTTAAGTGTCTTCATCAGGCATTCTATAATCTCAAAAGCTGGAAATTACAATGTAAACCTGAAATTCCACATAGACTAAAAGAATCTTATAACTATTCTCAGTGTCCTTAAATGGGTGCGGCTGCTGAAATTTTTCAAAAGGAGGTAACATCTTTAGCATAATCCTGGAGCTGTATGAAATATTGCAGAAGCAGCATTCCATTATATGTCAGTGTCTCCTGAGAGAACAGAAAAGCCTGGAACTCAACCTCCTAAGAGATAAAAGGGTTAATATTAGGGAACATGGTTTACCAAAAAGTTTCCAATTCACCAGTGAAAGCATGCTGGGGATGCCATACATTTATCAAGCTGAATATAATTTGACTTTATGAATTAAACATTGTACAGGAACTGGGGAAAAGAGTGCTGTGGGAAATCCTGCGTACAGACTATAGATGGGTGCATGGTGCTGATAGGAAGAGTTTAGGTTTCATGTTGAAGATTGAATGGCCTGTATGACTATATGAACTAACTTTTGAGAAAACTGTTACACTTTAATATATTGCACTATATTTATTGTGCATTACGCTATTATTTTGCTTAGTCCTTTTGATTATTAGGGTTAGTCCATCTAAAATGGTCTGGTGGGTTGAGTTCTCTGTGACTTCTTATGTTTCTTGGGGACTTCGATGCTCCCAACCGTTGTTCCTGTCTCTTTTTCACTTCTCAGCAATAGACTCTTACCATTGAGA